TATTTCATTCTGAATCTGTATTTTTTTCATGAATCATTTATTTTCTCTCTCCCTCTCGCAGGGGCGACCACACGTGTGCAGATAGTTATCTTACCATTTTACCATGGGGAGCGGAGTTTGTTGTGTTTAGCATTGACGGTTCTTTCGCTGCCAGCGTGTCCATCATGGGCAGCGACCCAAAGGTGCGAGCTGGAGCTGTGGACGTGGTGAGGTGAGGATCGAGACAGCCTGTAAGTCCGTGACTTTGGTCATGGTGTCCAGGCCTTTGTTCCAGTGAAATGATCATTTTCTTATTCAGTGATCCATTTGGAAAAATCAACTAAACAAAGACGTGAGACATTAACTAACGTACAGAAACGTTTTTTTTTAAGGGTCACATTTTAACCCGTGTATATTTGTGAATAATTACCATGAAAAATCCATCTGCTAATTCTCACCTGATTATCATTCATCACAGGTACTGGCAGGACTTGGGCTACCTGATAGTGTATGTAACAGGTCGCCCTGACATGCAGAAGCAGCGTGTGGTGGCCTGGCTTTCTCAACACAACTTTCCTCACGGCATCGTCTCCTTCTGCGATGGCCTAGTTCACGACCCGCTGCGACACAAGGCCAACTTCCTCAAATATCTTATCAATGAGGTACAGTAGGCAATGAGGTTTGAGTTGTAATTTACTAAGTAAAGTATCAGAAGCTGAAATTGCTTTTCTATTAGGCACACATGAAGATCTTTGCAGCCTACGGGTCATCCAAGGACATCTCAGTGTACTCGTCCATCGGTCTGTCTCCCTTTCATATCTACATTGTGGGAAGGCCCACAAAGAAGATGCAGCACCAGTGTCAGGTGAGAAATACTTTCACAATCTTTTTAATGCGGTCATAAGAATTGCAGCGCAGTACAACAGGCTTTGGTACTGTAGTACAGGTGGTCCTCAGTCCACAATGTGACAACGTCCTAGATCTACAGCATTCTGTGGTTACTTTGTCATCTCCCAATAATTTATTGAGTAGGTCTCATTCCATCTTTCGACATACAGTGTTAAAAAACTTGTTAACTATGGTATTTTCTGGAATTTAAGTCGCACCAGCCAAAAATGCATAATGAAGAGAAAAACACGTGTCGCACTAGTGCCCCCTAGCAGCTGTCTGTGTTACAGAGGTAGCAGATACTGGTACACTAACCTAGAGTGCCCTCTAGTGGTTGTCAGTGTGAAAATAACAAACGTGAAATTATATATTTTAATATATGTCGGCCCTGAGTATAAGTCGCAAACCCAGTCAAAGGATGAAAAACAGGAGTTTGCGCAGGAACTAGAGTATGTAAGTTCTGACTTATGGCGTAAATCGAAGTTACGTCGTACCGTAGATACGAACTCCAGCTTAAGTTGTACATACTGACGACATTTTTCTTCCAGTTCATTGCAGACGGCTATGCTTCCCACCTGTCCCAACTGGAGTTCAACCAGAGGTCTCGCCCGGCTAAGTCGGCCAGCACACGCATGGTCCTCCGCAAGAGCAGCTTCGGTCTGGGAGCGGCCGGTGGAGACTTCCTCCGTAAACGCAACCACATCTTTCGTACCATTTCCTCTCAGCAACCTGGAGGAGTCAGGTCGGCCTCGCCGAACCAGCAAGGACGGACTGAACGAACACAAAGCCAATGTGAGGTGGAGCGTGATCGAACTGCTACGTCTACTCAAAGAAGTATGAGTATAGCTGCAGCATGCTGGGGCCGCAGCAGGGAGGGCAGCACAGGGTTACTAGGCACAAAATAACTCCTGTTAGGGGGCGCTGGGGTAAAGGACTTGTTCTAAGCCCTTTTAATTTTTGAACTAGACCTAGGCTGAAAGAAAAGAGTAGAAAAGGAGAGCTGCCATTTTGGATACAGGACCAGGACATGGACATAATAAGAGACTTAACTAGACCAGGAGAGGTCAGTGTAGAGGAGATCTTTATCCAGATGGAGCTTTAAATAGAACAAAAGACAATTCTGTAGCATGACTCTTTTACAGTTACACTTTTTTACAGGATAAATTACTCATTAGTTTAAAGAATTGACCATAAACAGTCAAAGGAAACGTTGTAAGCCTTAAACTAATCCACCACATTCTCAGTGTGACCTGCAGAGCTAAACTCAATGTAAACTGTCTAGTTGTGAGTCCCAGGCCATAAAAATCCTAGCAGCCACGATGAAAAGCCAATGACATTTGCATTTGTTTTTTGTCCCGCTGTTTGTTTAGTGTTTTTTTCAGATAGTGACAATAGGAAAGAAAAAATAATGAAAAGTAATGAAGATGAAATCAAAGGCTTCAGGTCTTAGAATTTATTATTATTATTATAAGTCAGTTTGCCTTAACATGACTGACAGTTACAACATGGAGTATGATACATTTTATTATCTTTAAAAAAATTAAGAGATAAAATAAAAAAACCCCACCAAGACTGAAAATTAAAGGCCCAACAGTAAGTTCCATAGAGTAACTGATAAAATGTGTTTGTATTCTGGGTGAACTGATCCTTCAAACCAGGAGGTTACAGATATATTGTAGCAGTGAAGGAGGTCCATTTACCTTAAACCTGCATTAGTGTCTGAGACTGGAGTTAGGGGGTTTCTTAGTGTGGCCCGCGGCTGCACTGAGGCCTTAATGTCTGACTGACACACAGTCCACAATTGGAACTGGAAGCCAAAAGACAAAAAAACAGGGCAGCATCAAGAGACGACGTCACCTCTACCTACAAACTGTGTACAGTCCACAGCAACAATCCCTTTACACTGCTTCAAATACTGTTGGTGGAGCTCTGTTTCCCACTCATGCAGCTGCTGATGCAGCTGCTGCTGCTGCTGCTGCTGCTGCTCACAGACAGTACGTTCCTTGGCCTTTGACTTTCATGAAACAGAAGTGTGTGTTTCTGCTGAGGTGACCATTACCTTTCACACTCTGTGGAAGAGAAGCCAGAATGTCCTCTTACAGTGACCCGTCAACTTCAGTATGTTTTTGCCAAATGGACCAAAGAGTGGGACACAGGTACAAGTAATTTTTCATAAATGTTGGAAATGGCTGAGTTGAACAATAAGTTCACTGCTGTGTATTTTTTGTGTCTGTTCACTGAGCTGTTTTCAATGAAAATAGACAAAGAAAAAGACAGGCTACAATTTAGTCAATTTAATTTAATAAACAATGTGCACAAAATGATTAGATTTAGCTTCTTATGCTCACCCGCCTCCCCGCCCTCTTTTTCTCCCTTATAAAAACTTTTGGCCATTTTCTCACTGTACAGATCATAGCACTACCTGTATTGAAACTGGACAATCACCACTAAAACACCGGCAACAACTGCCTACAATACAATACAATGAAGCCTCCAACAAATAAGGAAATAAATTGTGTTACAAGCCGATTAACTGCAGAAAACACCATTTTAAATTCTACTTAAAAGCATTGAAACGTGTGTCCAGCAGAGAATCTTTCAGCTGCTGTACCATCAACAGTTTTATAGAGATAATTTAAAAGGTCCTAAAACCGAATAGAAAAAAACCCTGAATTTATACCAATAATTTCACCTTGTCCTCCACCTAAGTCTAAACACGTCAACACGCAGTGTTTGACAAGTCATTCAAATCCGAGATATTTTGAAATGATAACATGTTTTTTTTTAAACGTTGACCTTGTAAAACAAAAAAGGGCTTAGAGATATCTATAACCCGTGACCAAGATAAATTGCGGTGTCATACCAGTCCTTGTTCCTGTTCTTCACACCTGAGAATGTCACAGAACCTTCATTCACACCTTTGTTTCAAATCCAGCTTCTTGGTGTCCTTCTTCAGCAGCTGTTAGACCCAGTACGAAGCCAAAACATGATCTCATAATGTATTTAATCAACTGTGTGACCTCATTGTTGTTTTTGCACTATTTTACAATAGAGTGTTGCTTTTACCATCTTGTGTTGCAGTGTTTAAACACCTTTGCAGTGCATGACACTTTATTTATTTCAGGGTGTAATGTATGTGTGTGCAGGGTTGCACGTGTCTCTATATTTGTCAGGATGTGACAAAAGGCAAATTGAAGTGCCAAAACAGACTATTTTTAATTAGAATTTGTAAATTGTAACTCTTGAGAAAATCTGCAGGACTTTCCATTAGAAATGCTAACCACCTGTATGGCTTTGAGATGTGATGAAAAGTAAGAATAACAACATCCACAGAAATTATTCTAACATATCCGAGTGACTAAGTTATTAATCCTAGGAAAATGTCTGTTTTGATAGAAAAGAAACTGTATTTACCTTATAATGTAGTTCATATTTTCAGACATGTTTAACTGAAGTACTAGCAACATGCTAGTAACATAGCTAGCATAACTTCTCTGCTAGCACAGGCACAAAACGCAGCAGGCTCACCCTCAGTACCAGTTAAACAGTGAGATTCTGACTGACTATGTTGAAGGACCTTCAGTAGTCACTTTTGAAAAAGACAAAATGTGTCTTTAATGAAATTAAAGACTTCTACAGTTCTTGGGGAGAGTTGAAGCAACAAAAAAAAAAAAAAAAAAGGCTTAGCTTGTCCAAGCAGTATAAACCTTTTCCACAACTACCTTTTACTCCTGGTTGATAATATTAGCATGTTCCTGACAAGATAAGCATGCTGTCCTTCTAACACTTAAATATCAGGTAGTTGAACTTTAGCCTTTGTTAGGAACCAAAAACAAATAAAGTTTTACTTATTCAAAACAAATCATTAGAACTGTATGTTGCCACAGTATCTCCATCAAGGTTTTAGCTTCTGATTACAACATGTTAATTGTTTACAAAATTGGCTGAAGTTGCACACGTAAGGTAACGAGCAAATACACACATAAGCACAGGACATTCATTCAGTCCTCATTTCTAGGCGTATTTGATAAAAAACCAGTTGACTTAAAACCAGTTGACACTTCTTACCAAACATGTACTGTATGTCCAGTAGGGACCCCCTTATACTGTATGTGATGTATCTATATCACCCTGTTTATGCGTCTGAGTTTAAAGCGCATTACTTCACCAATGCACTAGAGGGCGAAACGTGTGCGTAATTTGTTTTTAAATTCCTGCCATTTTTTGACAGCTTAGCTGTAGAAACAAAATTTACAGGTTACTAAGAGTTAAATTAAATTAAGTTTACAAAATTGATCCCAACTACATCTGTGAGGCAGATACATAGAGTCCTTCAATAGTCTGTAGAAAACAGAGGTGAGCCCTGTGCAAACGACAACGTCCTGTCCATTTTTATAAAGTCATATTTGACTGCTTCCTCTGCAGTCCTGTCTGTGTATAAGTATTTTAATGGATACTGTGTTGGGTCTTTTGTGATTACATGTTTCAAAATGTCATTGTCTGGTGTCTGAAAAAGAAAAAAAGTCAAATCTGCCTGTACGTGAGGGCAGAGTGTAGGGGAGTTTATGTAACCATGCGAAATAAGCTGTTTCTTTTAAATTGACCTTTTTTTTATTGAGTTACAGTTGTGTTGTGTTTTAGAGACAAACAACCAAAAAAGAGGGGTTGGGGGTGGGGGGTGGTGGGGCCCCACCCCCCTCTTTTTGGCCATTTAGCTGCCAAGTTGAATGTTTCTCTCATTCTGGATCCTGACTGCGTACAGGAACCTTCAGTGTCTCCGTGTATATAGTGTAAAGATGTACATGTACATGTAGCCGCTCTATGGTTGATATTTATTTACTTACCTAAAGATCCTGATGTTGAAAATGGACATTTCAGGTAAATATATTAAGATATATAGCATTTTATTTTATTATCATCATGCACCACGATAAAGAAATGTTTTTATTTTTACCAGTGCTAAATTCTTATTGTTGCTACATTAGCATTTCTGCCACAACCGGGGTTGTACACACACACACATAGAGCATTACAATAGGGAGGGAAAGTCAAAAACTGTCTTAGACATGGTGTAAAAAAGAAATGATGTGAATAACTAAGGTTTTTTTTAAATACTCTTTCCTCTGTTTGAACACTTCTGCCAGTTTTGTTTTTTTTTTATCAAAAAATAATTTGTAGAATCCTGGCTAGATCCAAACCTGTTACACGCTTCAGTAAGTATAATTTTCTTTTTTAAATCAAAATTTGGTAAGACTGTGATGCCTTTGTTTTTAGTGCTTGACAAATCTGATTTAAAAAAAGTACAGTAGTAATACAGTCGTGTTAGAACTGTTGGATAAGACTGAGAAAAATGACTAAAACGTTTTAATTGTATAAAATCAGACACCTTTGTCACATCTGTCCAAGAACTTTTTGACTCACCCTCGTACGAGCTCCGTGCAGTTCGACGTTGAACACTCTGTCACAGCGTCTGCAGCGTTTCAAACCTCTGACATTTGTACCGGAGCTACTGTTCACCTCTGCTGTCTCTTTACAACAACTGCTGAGGGTTTTATAGGTTTCACTGAACCTATTTTTAAACTGGACACTTTTACAGAACCTTTGAGATGTTACTCTGGACTGTACTTTCAATCAGCCCAGCAGCTCTTATCTAAGAGGCGGTTGCATGTCATAAAGCCGGACTGCAAGTGTGTAACCTTCATGCTAAACAACAATAAAGCAGTGATACTGTATTCTACTGTATGATCTGTACATTCTGCTGATTGAACTGCAGCAGACCAACATGTTAATTTGACATGACCTCATCACTTTCACTAATTGAGTCCTGCAGTTGATCATTTCTATAGTTTAGGTAGTTTAAAGTCTGCCTTTAAACTGGAAGACAAAACAGCCTAGCTTGGACGTGGACAAACTACGGCCTGTGGACCAGATAGAGCCCGCTAGGTGTTCTGATCCGACCTGCCAAAAACTGCGAATTGACTGTAATTTCAGTTGATGCCACTAGATGGAGGCAGACATCAAATGTGGCAAAATTACTTTAAAGATTGAGGGTTATTGTTGTACATTTCATTCATATTATTTCGCCCAACATTATACATCCAACCTATACTGAACTGTCCCGCTCGTCAAATTTTCGAACCACATTCTGGCCCGTGAGCCCGTGATAAATCACGGTATCCTCTTATATCGTGAAAGAATATAAATAAAAGAATAAATCAACACAGGTGGCAACAAGAGATTTTTTTTATTATGGCAAATGTTGTCTGTGAACATTAATATGTCAAATAATGAAATGCGTTGATTTATTTTGTGTTTTCAGGGCTGTCAATCAAACTTGAACACTACAGCTCCTTTATCCGTAGACGAACATACAAGTCCTGGTCGCTCCTGAGCTGAAACACTGGGGAACGACAGGAGGAACATCCTCCAGATATTGCACAAGAGGGCAAGAGCTCTTTATAAAACTGGCCATGCTGATTGACTTTATAAAATTCTTTAAAAACAAAAACAAAATGTTTTACTTATTTTATCAACCTAAACAAAGCACTTGTGCTTCATCATACATGGGAGAACAATGGTAGACACACTGTACAGGCACACAGAGAGCAAGAACAGTCTGCTCTTTGGTTTTTCTGATGGACAGGGATGTGGTGAAGCCAGTACTGGACAGAGGTGGAGATGGACACTCGGACCGAGAGGGAGGACGGGGGGAGAGAGAGAGAGACTCACACAATTTACTGCTGGGCTCTTCAGAGACGAGGCCTTCACATGTCTCAGGACTTGTCTGTTCTTGTCAGTGGGCGTCTATAGAGCACGAGGCCTCTTGGGAGTTATTTGTTTGCTAGCCTGCTCCTCTTCCTGCAGTGTGCAGCGGAAGGATTTGACTTTATCTGAAAGACAAAAAAACAATGTTTGAAAGGTACAGCATTAGCATCTAGTTGGATTTTACACAGGAAGTATCGGTTCAGAGCTCAGAACAAAGGTCGGACCAACAGTTTACCATCCACTGTCAGAATGGGAGGGCTGTAAACTGGGTCAGATTTGCTCCATTGTTATTGTTTTTTTAATTAAGAATTTAATTTGAAAGGCTGTAAAAATGTCTGTCTGTGTTCATGAAACATGACGGCTATTTCGATGTTACTAATCAGCTACCTCTCAGCTCAATGAGAATGTCTATCTTCTGGTCCAGGATTTGTTCTAGTTGAGTTGCATACGACTCCACGTCGTAGTCCACCTCCTCTGTCATTTCCAGGAGCACCTTCTCATCTTCCAGCCAACGGATGGACTCCTGAGGAGGAACGTACTGTGGATTAACACGGTATGAACAACACAGGCCTGCTTCACTATAACAGCTTCTTCTATTTATGTTTTTCGTCATGAAAAACAGACGTGTCATTTGGTGTTGTGTGAAACTCCTGTATACCTGGAACACTGCCCTGTGGTCCTCCAGGACCTGCTCCTCCATCTCCACCAGCTGAGATACAGCTTCATGGAAAGTGAAGAGCTGTGGGGACACCTCTTCCTCCTAGAGAAAAGTAAATCAGAAAAGAATCACTAGGGGGCAGCAGAGGTTATCACATATAGTTGAGAGTGCAACACTGTGCAGGCACTAAACTACAGTGTTGTCATCACCCACGGACACCTGTGTGAAACTGTGATCGTCTTACGTTCTGTTCACAGAGCAGCTTCAGGTCGTCTCTCTGCGGAGAACTGCCGACCCCCCACTGGGCCTCCAGCACCTCCAGCTGATTGGCCAGTCCCTGATGACACTCCATGACTGCAGCCGGATCTATGGTGAGCTCCTTCACCCTGACAACACACGTGAGCAGCTGTGTCAAACAGCAGTGATGTCACTGACTTCTGAACGACAGGGTTGACTAGAGCTAACTAGTAGTTCAGGGCAGACCTTCACTGGTTGACTTGGTTTGGTCATTAAGTTTGGGCCAACACGGACGGGTCAGCTGTGGTCAGTGTAGGTGATGGAGAGAAATAAAGTGCATAAAGTACAGTAGTGATAAGAGTCAAGTGTTAGTGATCATACTCGTATGTGGGCGAGGTCTCGGAGCGTCCTCCTCCACCGCCGCTCTGTGAGAAGGGAATGTCAGAGGGACTAATGCCGAACTCCTTCACTCTGTAGAAAAGAGACAGAGGAGAGGAAAAGAAACCATATGAAAAAAGTACAAACAAAGAAAAAAGACTTTGTTTATATTTTCACATATCTTTTATTTTATTTTATTTTATTTTATATGTAGAGTCACTCTACAGTAATAGAATGTGTCTTAAGAGATAAGACTACGGTAAAAGTTTATGATTTGAGATCAGACTTTATCAGTGTCAGGGTTTGACTCTTGACAGGACTGCATTAGTTTTACCTGTTAGCGTATCTCAGTGTATTCAGAGTGTTTTCACAAGAGGCCATTCCAGGAGAGATGGTGGCAATCTGTCAGAAAACATTTGGGTTTTTTTACATTTAATTCTGAAACCACACACACACACACAGAAACAGATGATAATATGAGAATAGATAAGAAAGATAGAAAAGCTGTATATATCTGTCATTACGTGACCCCCCTGTGGTGTCCCTTGCAAACCACAGGGGGAGCCCAAGTACCATCAGGGGTTTGTGAACCCAACACATGGCCATTATTTTTAAATGCATTATTATAACTGTAAACATATTTTTCTATTATTGATCATTTTTTACACTGAATTTTTACACTCAGGACATGTTTGTTTTTGTTAAGACTAATCTTTGCTCATTTTCATATTGTCAGTTCTTGACCTGTGATCTATAGTTGACTTCCAGCTCATGGGTCGGTGTGGCTTCATTTCTATCAAACACATTATATCAAAGACACACATCAGTAACAACGTAGAGAGTTCTCACCATGCATGTCCTGGAGTTCTCTCCGATGAAGGAGTCCCTCAGCACTTGAGTTAACTTGCTGGCTCTGAAAGGAGTGTGAGGTTTGTTCCGACCCAGGGCTCGGATACACTCCTGCAAAAAGTACAGCCAGGTTGATACATTCACAGGCTTAAATTACACAGGAAAATGATGTCTTATTTGTTGAGGTTTTTTGAACAGAATTATATATTTTTTCTGTTCTGTTTTTGACACCAGGTGAAGTCATTAATGTTTGTCATTGGATTCCTGATGCCAGGAGTCAGTGACACAGACAGGAGGAGGAGACGGAGAGAACCTTGAGCGCCAGGAGACTCTTGTTGATCTCGGCTCCTTCTAAGCGAGTCTTGCGGTCAGCACTAGACGTGTCGGCCCCTCTCTCGTTACCAGCCAGGTCGATGAGGGAGAACTTTCCATGCATCTTCCCCCGTCGACGGAGAATGATCTGAAACACGGCGTGGCTCCGTGATGAGTGAGCATTGGCGGAGGTTTGTCCAGAAGTCCTGGAAGAAATTCACAGGATCCAAATCAGCCAATCTGAACCTGTCTGTCACTGGTGGTATTCTGGTCATAATTGTCCACCTGCAGCTGTTTCCCATTTCGATGAGTTTGAGGACGTCCTCCGTGCACTTCACCTCCCTCTCCTGCAGGCCCACCACCTGAACCTGCTGCTTCCCGTCCTCCAGGACCCGTAACTTGGCTTTGCGGTTAAGTAGATCAAACACCTTTCATCCAAGAAACAAAACCAGTGTTCAAATTATTAACTGTGAACAGACAGAAGGAACTACAGAGTTTGTTTAAGAACACTTACCTTCCCGCTATAAATCTCAAAAAATGTGGCAAAGACCTGCAGATCCAACTTCTTGTAATTTGGCTTTTTCAACATGAGAAAAACATCTCTGGCTGCAAACGGACAGAGACACAGACTCTAAGTTACGAACCTGTGAGCAGCGGGCAGTAGTAACGAAGAAGAAAAAGACACCGACTCACCTGAGAGAGCGTAGATGCCTTTGGAACAGTCCTGGTTCTTTCCTGAAAAGTCTCCTCCCATTGTCTGAAAGAGCGGAGTTTGTTACCAAAGGAGAAGGATAATAAGAACCTGTTTCCAAACAGCATGACCAAAGCACTCACGTGTGTTTTACCGCTGCCGGTTTGTCCGTATGCAAAGCAGGTCGCCATCCCTCTCTCAAAAATGGTCTCAACCAGTGGCTGGGCAGTAAATCTGAAGGTGGAGGAGTGGACTGTCTTTAGTTAAACTACAGTGTGCTCAGGTGGTGACTGTGACAGTGAAAGGAACACAGAGCTCACCTGTACACCATCTCATTGGTGGAGTTCTCATCAAAGGCATAGTCAAATCGGAACGTTTGGTTTTCCAAGTAGCGAGTGAGGTCCACTTTCTGCTTGGGCTCGTGCACCATGACCACGTCTTTACTTGGGATGGTGATGACGTCCAGTTCCTTCGTTGATAACTCTGAAGGGGAAACAAATAAAACAACCATCACCTTCATTCACTTGGAACTGTATGATGAAGACAGAACAGGAACATGGAACCTCTCTTACCTTTCTTATTGAGGGGACGTGCACGCACGCACACACATATCCTGTGCTCCTCAATCTGAAGGTGGTGGACAAAAAACGTGTTACAGAGTAGCTACGATTAACCGTGATTAGTTGTGATCGTATCTAATTATGATTAATCATCTTAATTAATCCCTATTAGTCATGATTAATCAATCAGCAATTCTAAATAAAGGCTTGGCTGACCTGAAATGCTCGGCATCGAGACGTTATTTTAAGCTTGAGGTGCTTTAGTCAAATGAAAACTTCTTCTCCACAGCGTGTGTAAATGACAGCATGTATTGACTATGTTTTAGAGCAACTATAACTGGATGGAGAAAAATGAAATGATCGGACATACACTTCTCGTCTCTCCGATTCGTTCAAATGTTCAATCTGATTATATACATATACGTAGGCACTATGTGACAGTGAAAAGGTGTCTTCACGTCACCACCATTAACTCTTACTGTACCAGATCATTGCTGGTTAAGGGTCTGTAGTCCAGGCTGCCTCTGAAGTCTCTGATCATACACATGATTTCATAGTTTGGTAAATTCACATCCACTTCCTGTAGTGGAACAGAAACACAAATTAGTCAAGGTATATAAAGGTTTGAACCAAATCCTGGTCCTGCAGGTTATATTTGTTTTCTGTTAAACTGGATTGTAAATTTAATTGCGTTTCTTTTCACCTGTGCTCTTTTTTCTCGCAGCTCTTGCTGCTGTAGACGTCTCTTCTCTCTCTTCTCCTGCAGCTTCTCCACCTCTTTTACACAGTTGGACTTTCTCCGAGCTGGTGATCATTAAACAATACAATAATGGACAGAGTGAGGCAACAAGAGAAGGTTCTCTGAGTAGCGCGAGTTCAACAAACAAAGTATGTGAAAGGCCACAGAGAACTGTGTGACATTACCATTCTGTTGCTGGAGCAGAGACTCTTTGGCTGCAGGCTGGGCAGTGATAGCTGGTGGGGGGGGCTCTGCAGCTTGGCTGTGCTGGCTGGGACGGGCCCGTGTGGTCCCTACTGCTGCAGCTAAGAAGCAGACAGTGTCACATGATTTAGACTGTAGTTTCCCAGGGTTAGTTGTTGTTGTCATTGTTGTGCAGGTAAACAGACACTTCTACTCTATAAAGTCATGTAATGTGATGGATAAGAATTATTTTTAAGAGCGCTAACGCTGCCATATGCATTGACAAAAAATTGTTTGAAAAAATTAGGAATTTATAATTATACTAAGTATTTATAATTTCATGTAGCATCAACAGAAGTTTAGCCAAGGCTAGAGAACAAGAGCGGTCTAGGCTGACACATTTATTATTTCACGCTGTTACTGTACTGTAAATATAGAGTGGTACTGTGATACTATATATCTGTGATACTGTCTTGTTTGATGTTTTATTCTCACAGTTTCAACTCCGCTCTTGTTGCATTTTGTGTTCGCTAGTTTTGAATGTTTGAAACAATTATGATGGTGAAAATAATTATATTGGAAACCTGACAAAAATGACACAAGAAATTTGATTGATCCTTCGTGTGTGTGAGACTAAAAGCCCAAGCAATTTAGTGATGTTCATAATCTGCCAGCTTCAGTGTGACTGTAGTGATGGCTCAGGTCAGAGGGAATCACACACATTAGAGGACAAACTGGTCGTACCTCTGTTCTCAGGAGCGTTCTCAGACCTGGGTATTGCTGTGACTCGTCTGGTCTGAAAATCAAACAACAGAATGACCATGAGAACTGTGCAGTACAGATGTACATGTGCAGAGCAACATTTTATGTCCAGTGGAATGATAAAAGTGAAAACACTCAAATTTAATGTTTCTTAATTTTCAATTTCCCTCTATTTTCTAAAGCATTAACCCTTGTTTTAGAAAAAGAACAGTGTACAGATGTGAAGGTATTTGATGTTGCTATGATACAGCCTACTCATTATTTCTCAATGCAAATATATTTAATATCAATCTTATATTAATAGAAAACTGCTCCTTTAATGTCATGGAAAAGGGCATTGAGAACCAGGTTTTGCACATGACAATATAGTGAATATACTTGTTGCAGGAAGCGAACACTATGACAGATGGAGAAGAAATGGCATCAAATAATTATTCACTTTGTCCAACAAATGTTTTTGTATGTGCTAAATAATATATTGTTGTTATTAACTGCTCTGTGTTGCTGTGTTGTTGCGCCTCTACATTTACAAGGTAAATTTTGTTGAACAATCAATCATTAAATCTTTCAATGAAGTTTGCCCTCAAAATGTGTTGCATGTTTCTTATCAAGTTAGAGCATTTTGACATTTTGGAATGTTTCAGCAATACCCTTATTGTTGGTCAGATAAAAAAAATTTGATGAACATTTTTGAAAATTTTTTTCAACATTTTATCTTTCTGCGTGTTTCTTATCAAAATGTAGTGTTGAATGTTTTTTTAGGAATTTATCTTAATTGTTTATGTTTTCTGCATGTCAAAAAAAAGGGTTTTGAAAAAAAATGTTTGAAAAATGTTTAGAAAAAACATTGGAAATTTTGAATTTTCTTTAGAAAAAAATATTTTTGAATTTTTTTTTAGAAAAAAATTATTTCTTTTTATAAAGTTTGAATTTTTTTTTGAGAAATTATCTGTCAAAATGTGAAAGTTTCATGTCATATTTAGTCAAAAACTAAACAATTTTGATGAAAAATGTTCGTAAAATTATTTTTCAAAATGTTATATTTACTTGCATGTTTCTCATAAAATTAGGGCATTTAGAGAACATTTTTAGAAATATTTTTGTATAAAGTTTTTGGTCAAAAGGTCAATTTTTCTGTCATTTTTAGTCAAAAACAAAACAATTTTGATGAAAAAGTTTTGAAAAATTATTTTTCAAAATGTTATATTTACTTGCATGTTTTTCATAAAATTAGGGCTTTTAGAGAACATTTTTGGGAATTTTTGTGTATAAATTCTTCTGTCAAAATGTGAATTTTTCTTGTCATTTTTAGTCAAAAACAAAACAATTTTGATGAAAAAGTTTTGAAAAATTATTTTTCAAAATGTTATCTTTACTTGCATGTTTCTCATAAAATTAGGGCTTTTAAAGAACATTTTTGGGAATTTTTGTGTATAAATTCTTCTGTCAAAATGTGAATTTTTCTTGTCATTTTTAGTCAAAAATGAAACAATTTTGATGAAAATGTTTGTAAAATTATTTTTAAAAATGTTATCTTTACTTGCATGTTTCTCATAAAATTAGGGCTTTTAGAGAACATTTTTAGAAATATTTTTGTATAAAGTTTTTGGTCAAAAGGTCAATTTTTCTGTCATTTTTAGTCAAAAACGAAACAATTTTGATGAAAAAGTTTTGAAAAATTATTTTTCAAAATGTTATCGTTACTTGCATGTTTCTCATAAAATTAGGGCATTTAGAGAACAACTTTGTAAACTTATTTTTATAAAATGCCTTTGTTAACCCCAACCCAAACCCTAACCCAAAACCCAACCCTAACACCAACCCTAACCCTAACCCTACCCCTAACCATAACCCTAACTCCAAGACTAACCATAAACCTAACTTCAACCCCAACCCAACCATAAATTACTTTTAAAAATATTATTTTTTCCTGCAT